GCACTTATATGAAGGGTTGTGACAGTTGTGACAGATTGTTTAGGACCAACTGATGACTGAATTTATTTAGGACCAACTGATGACGATATAATCGAAACGCGAAACGCGAGGCACCGATTGCGAGGTTCTGAAGTCCATGCTACTGGTACTGAAAGCCCGATTTCAAGTGTTTGACCTGACCTTAACCCGACCTGTGACCTCGAAATTCAGCTTTAAAGTATTCATGTGAATCGTCTCGTCACGTTCTTCTTTCGTTTGCCGCGCCTCGTGCGTTTCGCTGCGCCTATTTGTTCGCGAGTTATCGGCTGGGGGCGTTGAACGCCCCCCCCCCCGGCAAACGGCGGATGGGGAAATACCCCAGCAACTGCCGGGTTAATCTAACGCATGTTTTGTCATTTGATCGTCATTTTATTTCTTACTTTTTTGCCCAATCTAAAAAAAATCATAAATGCTCTTTCTCCAAATTTTTGACCCTTTATGACCAATAGTAAGACACTGTGCGTCACTACGTTCATATTTCTCGCCCTAAAGCATAACAACAATATCCATTCAGTAATAGCAGTATTCAAAACATGTTCAAAATGCCTCGCGATATCGATAACATAACGAAAGACATAGTCGACTTATGACATACTTGCAATGATGACGTCACACACGCGTGACGTGACGTGACCTTGTCATTTCTGAGTTACTGTATGATGTACGAAAGACACTGGTATACCTATGCAAAGTTTCATCGCAGTCGGTCTACGCATTAACAAGTTATGGGCAAAACATTTTTTCGCGTTGACCCCCGGCCATCCGTGAGGCCGTTTCCAACCATAGTGCCGTGGTGCCCTTGCTAGGCCTGTGATGCCCCTGGACCCTGGCAGGCCTGTGGTGCCTCTGGCGGGCCTAAGGTGCCCCTGCTAGGCTGCTGATGCCCCTGGGACCTGACAGGACTGTGGTGCCCCTGACAAGCCTATGTAAAGCGCCCCCAACAGGCCGGTGATGCCCCCGACAGGCCCAAGGTGCCCCTGCGTGATGCCGTGATGCCTGCGAGGCCGGTGGTGCCCCTGCGAGGCCGGTGGGGCCCCTGACAGGCCCATGGTGCCCCTGCGAGGCCAGTGGTGCCCTTGCTAGACCGGTGGTGCCCCTGGCAGGCCTGTGGTGCCCCTGCTAGGCCGCTGGTGCCCCTGGGCCCTGACAGGGCTGTGGTGCCCCTGACAGGCTCAAGGTGCCCCTGCAAGGCCGGTGGTGCCCCTGTAAGGCCTGTGGTACCCCTGCTAGGCCTCTGGTGCCCCTGGCAGGCCCATGATGCCCCTGCGAGGCCGGCGGCGCCCCTGGCAGGTCTCTGGTGTCCCTGACAGACCTGGGGTGCCCCTGACAAGCCTGTGGGGTAGGGTGTGTCATCAGTAACAGAACCAAATGCCGTAAAGAAATTCCTTGGCACTGAGACCTGCAAACACACGGCATAGCAACCGTTTTTGCAAAAAATTAAAATTCGTGCGGCGCCAGCCGTTCAAAGTTTTGGCGCCCGGCGTTGCAGTCTCCAATGCTGAGCGTCACCCAGCACTGCGAGTAACACCAAGTATTGCAGCAGGTAATAATGCAAAATAACTTCCGCTGAAAATGATGCTTTTGAGCGCTTCTAAGGCTGATTGTTGCAAAAAGCATGTCATTAGAGTGTCCAATTACTGTTTTTATTGTGCTCAATGAATTAAATCGAGCATTGCTCCTGAAACTAAAGAAAAAACTGCCCGATTTTGAGAAGCGGGCGGGGTGGAACTGGAGGCGGAGACGGGAAGTGACTCAGATTCGTCTTCTGAAAACACCGACTCCGTGGCATCCTCTGGGCGGTGCTTCTTCTTCTTCTTCTTCTTCTTCAGCATGTCATCTCGTGTGACCCGGCCCGTCTCCACCAGGAAGTCCCGGATGAGTCCAGCCTCGGTGGAAAGGATCTCCCTCAGCGTCGGCAAAGGGCCCCACGGGCGGGTCCGTGGCCCCTGGTAGGCGGGGTCAAGGGCGGGGTAGTCGACCAACAGGTGTTTGGCCGAGTCCGGTTCGTCGCAACGGACTTTCTCGTCAGACTCGGCCGGACCGAGTCGGAATCGGGTGTCTCCGGTGAGTGGGGAGCAGCTCACGCGGAGCTATGCCACTGTGATCGACGCTCGGCGGTCCAGTTCTCTCTCCGTGGCCCAGAGCGCCACATCGTCCGCATTCGCAGATGTGTACCTCCAGTTCCCGAGCCGCAGTTATAGCCGGTCATACGAGCCTGCAGGGTTAGCGTCCGATGGCTGCGTTGGTCCTTCAGGAAGACAGCCTCCTGCTGAGTGACTCAGTGGGCGATGAGACTTGTGCACCTGCTCTGAGAGTTGCATTTGCATTTGGCGATATCCAGGAGTTGTTGAATTATGCAGTGGCGGCGCTTTGTTCCTTCCTGTGTCTCTGGTGTTTTGTTCAGAAGTCTGTAGGGCTGTCTGTAGGGCTTATAGCAGTCCCTTTTGATCACTTTCGTCGTGTGTAGATCGCGAACAGGGATTCCTTCATTAGTTCAGAGTTGCCTTGTCCTTTTTTTCGCCACGGCCCTAAATGCACTATTTGTTGGATTTCTTCTTTGAGCACTCAGCCACCTGACATAACTGAAGGCCTCTGCTTTAGTCAGCAGTCGCTGTTGGGACAAAAGTACCGGCTGTCCTATCACGAAATGTTTTGTACGCGGCCGTGTCACTTTCGGCAGGGCCCTATGCTATCCGGATCATAACTCACGAGGCGAAAAAAACGTAGCTGATTAGGAAATGCCCATACGACAATTATAGCACGACACAGGGAACCAGCAAAGCGCCGCCACTGCATAATTCAACAACTCCTGGATATCGCCAAATGCAAATGCAACTCTCAGAGCAGGTGCACAAGTCTCATCGCCCACTGAGTCACTCAGCAGGAGGCTGTCTTCCTGAAGGACCAACGCAGCCATCGGACGCTAACCCTGCAGGCTCGTATGACCGGCTTTAACTGCGGCTCGGGAACTGGAGGTACACATCTGCGAATGCGGACGATGTGGCGCTCTGGGCCACGGAGAGAGGACTGGACCGCCGAGCGTCGATCACAGTGGCACAGCTCCGCGTGAGCTGCTCCCCACTCACCGGAGACACCCGATTCCGACTTGGTCCGGCCGAGTCTGACGAGAAAGTCCGTTGCGACGAACCGGACTCGGCCAAACACCTGTTGGTCGACTACCCCGCCTACCAGGGGCCACGGACCCGCCCGTGGGGCCCTTTGCCGACGCTGAGGGAGATCCTTTCCACCGAGGCTGGACTCATCCGGGACTTCCTGGTGGAGACGGGCCAGGTCACACGAGATGACATGCTGAAGAAGAAGAAGAAGAAGAAGCACCGCCCAGAGGATGCCACGGAGTCGGTGTTTTCAGAAGACGAATCTGAGTCACTTGCCGTCTCCGCCTCCAGTTCCACCCCGCCAGCTTCTCAAAATCGGGCAGTTTTTTCTTTAGTTTCAGAAGCCATGCTCGATTTAATTCATTGAGCACAATAAAAAGAATAATTGGACACTCTAAGGACATGCTTTTTTGCAACAATCAGCCTTAGAAGCGCTCAAAAGCATCATTTTCAGCGGTAGTTATTTTGCATTATTACCTCCTACAATACTTGGTGTTACTCGCAGTGCTGGGTGACGCTCAGCATTGGCGGGCGCCAAAACTTTGAACGGCTGGCGCCGCACGAATTTTAATTTTGGTGGACTCGGATATGGACGAAAATTCATTATTGATCAATGTGCCAAGGAAAAACCTTACGGCGTTTGATTCTGCGAGAATCACCCCCTCGATGACACACCCTACTGTGGGGCCCCTCACAGGCCCGTGGTGCCCTTGCTAGGCCTGTGGTGCCCCTGGCGGGCTGGTGGTGCCCCTGCTAGGCCGGTAGTGCCCCTGACAGGCCTGAGGTGCCCCTGGGCACCAAGGGGGGTCATGACCCATGTGGCCCCCCTTGGATCTGCCACTGATAGGTAATATATTGATTTGTAAAGGCGTTATGGCTTATGCAATATGCAATTGCAGGCACTTGGTATCCCTCACATATCCCTCATTGGGGGCTCTGGCGGGCACCTGAGGGCCCACGTCTATCTCCGGGAGCCCTAGACAGGCTCCTTTGGGTCCTTTCAGTCTGCTATAGCATAAGAGGTCTCCCAGTGGCGGATCCAGGGGGGAGGGGCAAAATGGGCATTTGCCCCTCCCAAACGGCATAATTTTAACATTACGCCTATGGACGAGCCATGGAAAGAATCGATAGATTGTTATGGTTTGCCCCCCCCCAAAAAAAAACTGAGCTGGATCCGCCTTTGGCAGGAGCCAAACCTAGGGTACCCCCAAATCCTGTTTTCTCATCGGATTTAGGCCACTTATTTTTCGTCACACCTGACACTATGAATATTTTTTTTTTACTAAAAAGAAAAATATATAAATGGTAGCCCACCCGACCCATGCCTTTATATTACTTTGTAAACACTTACCATTGCTTTTGTCGACCAGTTAACCCGCTTCGAGACGAGTCAGTGCTTGGGTCCCTTTGCGGGCCGGGAGGTGGTAAAACACCCCCTGTCTCACTCGGCTCCTGGGCCACGCACTGATTGAACTGTGTTTCATTATCGTTTGGGGGAGGGGGCAAACGGGCCACTTTAGGCCTCTGGGAAGGGGGCATGGCCCTAAATGCCCCCTCCCTGGATCCGCCAGTGGCTCCTGCATGAGTTGCCCCCCCCCCCTCCAAACGCAAGCCTGGATCCGCCAGTGAAAGAACGCATTGGTGAATGGTGGCCCGATGAGTCATGGTACTGTCTTTTAAAATAAATTGGAAATGCGATTTCCTTCAATGTTTTGCGTTTGAATCGAGGTTTGTTCGCGCCCCGACCCCTCTCGGTCCCTCTCGGGAACATAAGACGCCGCCAATATTTTCAGTCGGAGCGCGCGCCGACTGCTGGCGGCTGGGGGCGGGTCCCGACGCGACGGCAGTTTTGGCGCGTCGATGGTGAGGTGGGGTGCGCAGCGGCTAGTGGGGACAGTCGACACAGCTCTGCCCTGCTGTTGTGCGTCCACTGCCGCTGTACGTCGGCTGTACGCTTACTGAGCACTCAGGGAAACCGACCTACCTCGGTGGAACCTGCTCTCTCGGAGTGGCGGTGCTTTGAGTGCGCGCTCAGCCGACAGACCATTCCAGTGAAAGTGACTTCTGTCCAAGCTAGTGGGACAACTGACGGAGGTTTGGTCCTGGTGACTGGTAATCGTGCTCTCACTGACCGGTGGTCTGTGGCTTAGTGACCTGGGACCGGTGGTCTGCTGACCTGTGACACGTGGTCTGCCAGCGTGTGACCCGTGACCCTTGACACGTGACGCGTGGTCTGCTCCCCCGTGACCTGTGACCGGTCTCGCACCGCGCCGCGTTCGGTGTGCCCAGCTGTCATCTCGCCGCGTCTCCACCGGTGCTCCCCGCTATCGAACGTGTTTCGTCGTGGCTGGCCCCCTGCCAAGGTCGTTCGTTGGCCCCGTCGGCGACCAAGGTAAGCAGCCCCCGCCCCTGTCGGGAGGGATGGGGGTTTCGCGTGACCGTCACGTCACAGTGGTATAACCGTTACCGTCACTTTTAGGTTCGGTTACTGTCACTCGAAAATGGCACCCCTTCTCTTCTCTTTTCTCCTCTTCTCTTGTGATGTCTCCCGTCTCCCTATATGCTTTGGCCTTACCTACCGGTAGGTGGTAGGTATATCCCCTGCGAGGTATTTTTACAATTTCTCCAGGGCCTGATAACTGGGAGTGTCATGTTTGTCCGCGGTGCGCGTCCACCTCTTTTCACCCCGCCCCCCTCGCCTCCCCCAGCCCACCGAGCATGCTTTCCCATAAGATGCCCGGTCTACCGTGCCGGATTATTTATAGATTGCTTTGCTGATCAGTAACCCGTTGGCCGGCGCACGTTGACACATAACTGAGCAGGGGACTGTATAGTATTTATAGCCTGCGACATGCTAGTTGACAAAATATTTGAGTAACGCTTTCTAGTTGTTTCTCCGCACACTTAACCACTCCTGCCGATCTTCCAATCGCCCAAAAGGCAATTCGTGAAAACTCCCGACAATTTTGCGATCCCTCAAGAGACAAGACACATTCATGACGCATCTCGTCCAACAGCAAGACACCCTTATCATCCAATAGCACATCCCATGGCTTACTTAGAACCCGGCGTCACTCGTCCCCAGAGGCGGATCCAGCTCAGTTTTTTTTTGGTGGGGGGGGGGGGCAAACCATAAAAATTTATCGATTCTTTCCATGCATCGTCCATAGGCGTAATGTTAAAATCATGCCGTTTGGGGGGGGGGGCAAATGCCCATTTTGCCCCCCTGGATCCGCCACTGCTCGTCCCTCGGTCTGGCGCCGTGTCAGTTGTGAGCTGAAGTTGGCCCCGTTGTGGCGCCAAAAAACGAACGTCGCGCGCTGCGTAGTGAGCTGGCCTTGCGCTGCCGAACGTGGGGGAGGGGAGGGGGAGGGGGCGACTGAATTCTTTGTGCCTACCGAGTTCCTGCGTGGCGAAGCGGGTTGTTTCGGCTAATCCCCTCCCCTGCTTGCGATTTCATCGGTCTGCTACGCATGATCCTGCAAGAATGACGTGTTTGGTAGGACCGGCCACGCCGGTGGTCGGTGGACGGTAGATTGTGGACGGTGGACGGTAGATGGTAGACGGTAGGGGAGAGTGGGGCACATTCGTGCAAAAAATGGATAAACCCATATATCTATTCTTTGGTTAGTGCAATGGCAAAATTGTTGATTGTAGTATGGAAAGGAACTATTGCAGATAGTTTTCCTCTTTAAAAGTTATCCTCTAAAATTATTGCTTCCATTAGAAAAAATGACTTTTAATAACTCTGAACATTTGCACGAAACTGCCCCACCTATGGGGCACATTCGTTCAAGAGGTGGGGCACTTCCGTTCACCCTGCAAAGTTCGAGAAATTACCGGGCATTACCAGAAATTTACCAAAGGAAATTGGCAGGGGGTCATTTCACTCGATTCCTTTCGACAAGAATGCATTGCACAACATATGTAGAAAGAATGGGCTGGCCAACAAGAATGTGCCAACTGCCGGCCTCCGTGACCTCGCCAAGTTCGCGTGAATTGCTCGTCACGACGTCGCAAGCAGTCGAGACTGAGTCAGGCGAGCGTCATTAGAGAAACCTACTACAGATAAAGTCATAAATCGCAAAACTAAAAAAAAATATGCACGAATGTGCCCCCAGGCAGTGCGTACACGAACCTGCCCCACAACGTTATTAGTAATATATTTCAAAATTTCTTTTGGAAAAAATGACACTTTTTCAACAAACAAGTTTGCAGCAGTTCCGTGAATAGAGTGAGCTTCTTCACCCCCAATTTTGAAAAGCTGAACCACATTTCCGAGTCAGGATCACGAAAATGGATGATATGAGAAAAGTTTGGAAAGCTCACGAATATTACAAATTTGCGTTTTTATCAAGCATGACAGCAGGTACAGTGTTGTCTTCTACGGTGAACGAAGGGCGGCAATGATAGACATATTTCCATAATTTACCTTGAGCTCGTGCAGTCACTCGTGTTCCCATAAACTGCTGAAAACGAATGTGCCCCATGCACGAATGTGCCCCACTCTCCCCTAGATTGCGGACGGTGGACGGTAGATGGTAGACGGTGGACGGTGGCGTATGTGGCTAATGGTAAGCGCCGCAAAAGAGGCACTGACCTGGCCCGTTTTTCGGCGCCTCGCCCAATGTGAGAACGCTGATCCGCAATGTCCTGCTCCCGTTTGTATTTGTCGACGCAGAACGATTAAAGGGACCCTCCCACCTTAACATTAGATTTGAGCTGAGATAGCCAAAATGGGGTCCCTGGCTCACAATTACCGGTTTCGGCACTCACAACATCGAGAAATGCCTTAAATCGGAAATATTGAATTTCAAAATTGCAGCATTTTGATTCAGAGGGGCTAATGCATAGGAATAGGTACCCCTCTGAATGTGTGACGTCAGCGCAGATATCTAACGAATTTTAAATGTTTGACTAAAACGTTTTGTAGCACACGGTGGTATATGCTGCTTTGAGCGCAACAAGTGCCGCACTTTCAGCTGCCAAACTATTGCTTCCAAATAAAGTCGCCAGAAACAGCGGAGATCCCAAAAAGTAAACAAAAGTAAAATGCTTAATATCTTGAAAACCGGTGAATATTTTTCGGTGAAATTTGGTAGATATTCGTTTTCGCTCTTTCTGAACCGAGCGACATCACTTTCATGCCAATTCATAAACTTTTTTGAAGGTGGGAGGGTCCCTTTAAAGGGACACTCCCACCTTAACATTAGTTTTGAGTTGAGATAGCCAAATTGGTGGCCATGGCCTGCAAATACCGGTTTGGGCACTCACAACATCGAAAAATGCTTTAATTCGAAGATATGGAATTTCAAACTTGCAGTTTTCGGATTCTAAGGGGCTAATGCATTGGAATGCCCCCTTAGAATTTGTGACGTCAGCGGAGATCTAACGATTTTTAAATCTTAGACTAAAACCATCGTTAACACGTGGTGGTATACGCTGCTTTGCGCGCAATGTCTGCCGCACTTTAAGGCTGCCAAATTATTGCTTCCAAATAAAGTCGCTAGTAACAGGGGGATCCCAAAAAGTAGACAAAAGTAAAAGCCTAATATCTTGAAAACCAGTGAATATTTTTCGGTGAAATTTGGTAGATATTCGTTTTCGCTCTTTCTGAACCAAGGGACATCACTTTCATGCCAATTCATTAACTTTTTTGAAGGTGGGAGGGTCCCTTTAACAACATCTGGTGGGAACGATAGATGGGACTGAAGCGAACGGAATGGAACGACAACGGGTGGTGTGCTTTTCTTCCAGCCCGGACCCCCCATATTTCGATCACCAATCCGTGAATCCCATTCTCCCATGGGACTTGCCGCTTGGCCCCATATGGCGAACCCGCGAACCAATAGTACGTCGTTGGTTTCACTCACCCCATCTCCTTCCCGATTAGTTCCTCGTCTGGCTAGTTTTCCGTCATCTACGTGACCAAACACGGGTGGCGGCGAGCCTCTGTTGTGACCCGACCCGCCCCTCCGCCCTCGTCCCTCCCCGCCCGTGACCTTGAGTATCGTCTGGCGGGGAGGGCGCAGGGGGAGGGGCGATACCACACGGCTCCGCACGGCATAGCCAATATGCTGAATCACGTTCGTGTTCGGCTAGGTCGTACAGTAGAAATCCAACGGGCGGTGATTTAAAGGCCATGAAAATGAGCATCGCTTGTAGCTGCATGATTACAAGCTTCTAAGGTAAACTCAATGACTCGACGATCATCTAGTGGACTCAATGACATATTTCAGGCGCGGCATGCAGGAGTACATTTCCTTGTGAAGTAATTTTCGCTCGTATAACGCCAAAATACAGCTAACGAGGGTCACTGTGTATAGCGGCCTTGTTGTGATCCCTGCTCGCTAAGTGCGATCATTTAACTGTTGACGCCTCTTTGTGAACCGGTTCTAGCGGCAAATCCGCAAGGCCGCTGCATTTTGGACTCCTGCGTCGGAGTTAGTGTTAGCCGCCTGCGTGGTGTTTGGGTTGATACAGTGTTGTTGTGTGAGACGGTTGAGCAGCTTTGGAAGCTGAAAGAAAATGTGACAAACAGCTAAGCCGCCATGTAAGCATGTGAAGAATTACAGTTATATAAAGACAACTTACAACAGTTAGGCCTTTTTGTCAAATCATATTCAATAACAAGAGTTGAAGACAGAACTGGCTCCAGGAATGAGTCCCCACATTCCTTTGAAATTTTGGTGAATGGGGGGGGGGGGTAGGTATATGTACTCTCCGCACTGCCGCATGTCGACAGTAGAGGTCTTAAACATAATATCTTTTCTGGGCATATTACTTCCAGCTAGTCCCCCTTTCCTCCCCTCAATGACGTCAGCCGTGACGTGGTCGGGTTGACGCCAGTTTCTGAGACGGTCACGGGATGTGGTCAGTCAGCCAGCCATGTTTGGTCACACAGGGGGTGTCTCCGCCAGTTCCCGGTCGTGTGGCGTCGCACGGACCAGCCCACCGCCTGTCCGCACTAATGTGACGTGCTCTCGTCTCTCAGAGCAGTCCCGGCCCCCTCCTGCAGACAGACCACCCCTCCCGGCGCGGTTGGCTGTGTCTGGTGGTGACTGGCCCGGGTCTCGTGCCGGCCCCAGTGGACAGTACGCAGTGGTGTTTGACGTCACACTGACATAGTGTGCCCGGTCGGGCGGCGGCTGGTATGCCCGGCCGTGCCAGCTCGCCACCGCTGCCAGCCTGGCGGCGCAGCGGCCACCTCCGCTCAGCCGCCGCCGCCGGGCCAGGTCGGCGGCACGATTGGTGCCGGATCGGGGTCCTCAGCCGACGCCCCGGGATGTGTGCAGAGGCCGAGCCAACGCCGCTCCATGGCCCGGGCGTCTTGATTACGGAGCGCTCCGACGCAGCGTCGCCGGCGACTGTCTGGCCTCAGAGGCCCGGCCG